GGGTGTGGGTGTGGGTGTGTGGGTGTGGGTATGGGTGTAGGTGTGGGGTGTGGGTGTGGGTGCGGGTGTGGGTGTGGGTGTGGGTGGGTGTGGGTGTGGGTGGGTGTGTGGGTGTGGGTGGGTGGGTGTGGGATATCGGTGTGAGTGTGGGTGTAGGTTGGTAGTGGGTAGGGGATCCCATTAGTGTTAGCATTAGCATTAATTAATGCTAATACTAACGCTTTGGCATTCATGGCATTACGGTGAATTAATGCAAGGTATTTGCATTAAATTTGCATTGATCCCTAACGCTGATGCCTGCTACTAGCAAACTAGGATTGTCAGTACGATTCCATGTAATTTCAGCCTGGTAGGCACGACTAGCAGGCATTAGCATTAAAATTAATGCTGATTTCATTCTAACACCTTGCATTACTTAACACTAGTGCCATTAATGCGAAAGCGTCAGTGTTAATGATAAATGCTAATACCAAAGTATTAGGATTAGTATTACATTAATGCTAATGCTAACACTGATACGACACCCCTGCCCACACCCACACCCCACACACATACCCACCCATTTTCGGTATTCATCTCGTTACACCAAATTCACTCAAAATCCTCAACTTTGCAAGATAGGGTATCCACTTTGGGTATCCATCTCGTTACACCAAATTCACTCAAAATCCTCACTCTTTGAGGATATGGCGATGTTTGAAAATCTCGATACCCGAGTTCCGAATATTACGGCATCCCTCCCTGAACACATCAAATTTTCATGTAAATATTATGTGACAAAAAAACCAAATTTTCAATCCATTTTTATACTTTAATTTTCAAAATCATGCTTTTTTTTCTTTAAAAAATATTTATAACGACTGAAATCCCAAATCATAGCTTAGACATGCAAGAAATATTATGCTAATGATTGTGAAGTGTTGGTATTGGAAATTCGTCTTTAGTTTTGCGTTAGTATTTGAGATTATAGGTGTCAGTATGGATAAAATGAATATTCACATGAACACTCATTGAACAATGAGCAATTTCGATTATCAATGAAAGAAAAATGAATGTAGAGCTTGAGTACTTGTGATAATGTTCAATTTTCTTTTTAATTGAAGAACTTTTGATTCATGTTATGTACTTCCCAATGTGTATCCAATAGAGTTATGAAAAAATAATTGAAAATTTCGTTCAAATTTGTATTTTCTTCGTATCATCTGCTTATGTTTTCTAGACACTATCAAAAGAAAATTTAATGATATGTTTGAATTAGTACGTTTATTTAAAAAAACCTTTCTTCTTCTTTAGTAACTGACAGAACGTTTTAAATAAGATCTTAATTATTGTAACTGATATTCAAAATAGCATACTCTCAATTTTGATTTTTCTATTTATATTAGATTATCTTAAAAGATTAGTTTGCTCTTGCATGCATTAAGCAGTGAATAAACAAGTTTTTTTTTTGAAAATATTCTTTTATTTAATAATGTAAATAAATTTTGAATTACAAGCTGAAATAAACACAAAAAAAAACAGATGTTTCTCACTTTTCTTATTGAAGAAATAAAATGAATGTGTTAGAACTTATAAAATACGAATTCAATTTGAACAATAGTAATTATGTTGAAAATGATCATTTTTTCATAACCTTACAGGAAAGTTCTCTGATATTCATAATGATGTAAATCTCATT